TTTGTTAATTTTTGGGGATATTGTGATTTAAATAAAAACAAGTATAGAAAAAGTATATGTGAGTCATTTAGCATACAGATAGAGATATTTTTTTTCTCTGTAATCAGCTCATGAACTACAATGCTAAAGTTTTGGCCACTGGATTATGGAAAATTCTTGGAATAAATGAACATTGAACTAATTATCTAGAATGTATACAAGACTTTTCAGAACACTAAGGAGGTTTGCAAAATAAATGGGAAAAGAGTCTTCTGTTCTCATTAACATGGTTTTATTAAAATACATATAAATATAATTCCTATCTTCTGATATACTTATGTTTTTTGGGGGAGTTTTTTTTGTACCAAGGATTGAACTCAGGTCCTTGGGCTTGCGAGGTAGGTAAAGGAACCACTGAGCTAAATCCCTGGCCCATACTTATGTCTTCTAATTGCTTTAAATGTATGTTCTATTGTTTAATATATCTTTTCATCAAATACATTTTACTCCCAAAGACGGGCATGGTAGCACACTCCTGTAATCCCAGCACTCAGGAGGCTGAGGCAGGAGGATCACTGTGAGTTCGAGACCAACCTGGGCTACATAATGGGTTCCAGGTCAGTCTCAACTACATAGTGAGACCCTGTCTCAAAAAACCAAAAAAAATACATTTTACTTTCATAATAATTACCCCAAAGAAATTAGTATTCATTATTTCATAGTTTTCTATGTAAGATAAATTTTACTTATAAAAATATATAAATGCAAAGTTTTTAAATCTGTATTTCATCTAATTGCTATTTATTCAATTATTTAGGTAACCCCTTAAGTATGTCATTGGAGTATCATTATGTTGTTGGAATATCAATTCTGTAGTGGTTTTGCATGTAACCATTTCAGCCATGTGTCATCACCAAGTGTCCTACCTGCCCTACCAGAGGTCACTTTGCTTGTTTTAGGTAATAAGGGTTAAACCATTCAAATCACTCTCCAGTTCCTTGAGTTGAAATTAAATTTCCTTCAATTCTATCCTGATGTGGAACCCTGGCTTTGCAAGTTTCCCTCCTGTAAAACATCAATGTAATTGGATAACGATCACTAGTCCATGTACTGTTTGTATAAACATCTCTCATACAACTGGAGGCAATTACTTCAGAAATCAGGGAGAGTTCTATATGGCAATGAAGTCTTCCCCAGAGATGCTTTTGAGATTGTGTTGTAGCGTTATAATGTAAAAACTACAAAATAGCCCTGTTCTCACATTGACTATGCAGCTAAGGCCACGTGGCAGCAAGCACTCATTCACATTAACAACAAGAAAGGAAGAATACTTTAAAAACACACTTGATTTTGCAAATATGCCCTAGCATCCAGATGTTTGGCAGTACAGAAACAAAACATATGGATAGCAATTAATTTTTTTGTCACCAGTATATTTTGCTTCCTATAAGACTGCACAAGAATCTAAAAGATACTGCCAAATTTTTCTGATAATCACCTTCGTGCTCAGTGCAATCAAGGTCATAAAAGTCTGAAATGTGAATTGTTTCCTGCCTTAAACAATGCTTGGTACTGTTGGCTCTAAGTTAGCATGAATGCAGAGCTTTAAATTTCTTCTGAATGCACTACATTCCAATCTCACAAGTAAGGACTTTAAATAGCAGCTTAGCATCATGTCAAAATTCCTTAATGCTTTTACTCCAGAAAGAAGGCATGTAAGGAAAGTAAGAAATCGAACTGTTCCAGACCATCACATTGCTGTTTACGTGGGACACACAGTGACCTCTAAGAATCCTCATTATTCAACTATACAAGACAATTGGTACATTAAAACAGAGTTCTTTATGAATTGGGCAAATAAAAAGATCCAGTTGGAACTAGTTCTAATGCCTTTCTGTTACATAATGTCAGATGTGGAAACCGTCTATGCATATGCCCTGTGGTGTTATATAAAAATAGCATTTCTCAGTGCAAACTGATCTCCAGGTAATGTTGCCCAAGACGGAGATAAGTAACAAGTGACTATAATTGGTGGCTATGCAGCTTTGACAACAACCAGCACCACAGAAATGCAACCTAGGGAACTATTTCCAGTTAGCAATCAGGCTCCTTTCATTCGTTTGAATTATAAATACAGACAGAGAAAAAGAAGGAAAAGACCCACAAATATGTTACTTCGATTAATTCCAAGGGAATGCTGGATTGTGAGCGTCAGATTCGACCATTACTAAACCTGGTATGTAATTACAGCAAAACACCTTGCAGGATCTTGAAGCAATCATCTCTATTTCTCTTTCCTACTTGGTGACTAAAAATTACCATTTCAAATTTCAATGAGTAATCCACATCAATTTTCAATATTTAAGAAGTCACATAGACCTGAAGATGGTATGGAAAAAAAAAATCAACTCAAATATTTAGGCGAAGATCTCTCTGGTTCTAGGATAGAACACTACACTGCTGGCACTGCCTTTTCTTGGAATGGTACATAGGTAATTAGGAAAAAATATACCTATTACCACTCCTTGATCATATCTACATGGCTGAATATTCCATGTTGAAACAAAATAATCCTTTTCATGTGAAATACATGTCCACTCAAGGTAGCTCAGACATTCTCCATTTCACAATAGAAGCTCTTTGAGGGTAGAAATCTCACCTGCATGGTTCTCTGTTGATTGCCTCTATGCCTAGAATAGTACCTGGCACATAATAGGTGCTCACTAAATATTTGTTGGATGAATGAAATCAACCTTTCAACAAATGCTTCGTGAGAATCTACTCCTTCTAAGAAATAGTTCACTATCAAGAGATGAAAACAGGAGGAACATGCCGAGGGCCAGGATGAACTCAGTCTATTGGAGAAGACAGACATGGGAAAATCTAATTAGAATGACAGTCAAAAAGGCTAGACATCACAGGAGTGACGCGCAAACAGAATACCTGCACTTCAGCAGAGAAAGTAGGCATTGAACAAAGAGACTGTGAACTCCCACCAGGCACAGTTTTTAAAATTTTTAGAAAGGAAAAACTGAATCCAAGTTCTTGCTGTGAGAGCAACTTGAAGAGTGAGTGGGTAAATCCTCAGGACAGTTAGCCTGAGGTCGCAGGCTGTGGTCAGCCTAGAGTCAGTCCAGCCACACCTGGGAGATGGAAAGGGGCTTGCAAGATTTCACGCAGGCCAGGCACAGTAGTGAATGCCTGTAATCCCAGCACTGTGGGTGGCTGAGGCAGGAGGGTCACAAATCCAAGTCCAGCCTGTGCAACTTCATGACCTAGGGAGACTCTGTTCCCAAAATTTTTTTTAAAAAATTAAAGAGGCTAGAGATGTACCTCAGTGCAAAGGCTTGGGTTTAATCCCCAGTACCAAAAAAAATAGTTATTTTGTTCTTCTGTTTGTTTTGTTTTGACTCAACAGGACAAGTGGCTATTTTTCTGTTTCCTGTGTGTGTGTGTGTGTGTGTGTGTGTGTGTGTGTGCGCGCCAGGGATCGAACTCATGACCTAGCACTCGTGAGGCAGGCAGTGGCATCACCACTGAGCTAAATCCCTGGCCCTCTTCTCTTTTGCTTCTTGTTTCTGAAAGGGACAATAACAGGAGTGCTAAAGACCCTGGGAGATGCTGTTCTGGAAACACCAGCCATCAACTAGACCAGAGGAGGAAGTACTTATTCACAAAAGAGCTTTAGTCCAATAACTCCAAGGGCAGAAAGTTTGCTTGAGAAGTCAAGCTTATGGGTGGGAATCCAAGATAAGCCAAAGCTTTCTCAGGTTCTCCAACTGCTATCATCTTTTGCCAGAATTATTCTTATAATAACAGATTCATCAGATATGATCCCTGACCCATTATGTTCTTTACACATACATCAATCTTCTATTTCATGATTTGTGTTAGAAGTGACTTAAGGTTGTGGTATTAGAGAACTTACATGACACAAGTAGATTTTTCTAAAAATTGTTACCAAAATTACCTGAAATGTATACACATGCTTTATATAACAATCGCTGATTCATTTCATTGGGTTTAAAGCATTAGTTATGCTGAAAATATAAACAAAGTGCAGCTTTTTCTATGATTAGGAAAAATCTTTAAGATTTACTTAACCTCTTGCTGTGTGCAATTAAAGGGTTGGTTTGATGCTTGCTAATCTGAATTCCCAGCCTTTCAAGAAGAAGCGATTGTTTCAGGCATGTGGATCAAGTAGAGGAAAAAGAGAACCAACAGGACTTCTGTAAGTCTGTCAAACTTTACCTTTTTGATGCTGTTTAGAGGACAATGTTCTCTAAATGGGCCCTGTTCCTGCCGACTGCTTGATATACCCAAGCATCAAACCCAGGGTTGTACTACAGAACCTGAGGTACGTTTGTTCCTCTGGACTTGGGCAAGAAGCTTGGGTCCCCCTCCTTCCTGTAGAGTGCACTCCAGGCTTTTGCCTGACTCCATACCCAGTCAGTGCCCCTGCCTAAACTACATCTGTGCAGCACACACGCGTGGCTTGACACTGAGCTAACCCACCCATATATGGAGAGATGCGAAGCACTTGCCTTCTCTGGGGTGAGCATCCACAGTTAGTGCTTAGGAATAAACATGGACAACACAAATCACCTACAACGCTTCCGATTACTCTTTGCTTTGCTTTTAGATGGGTGAGTCTAGAGGCTCTAGACGATCCAGTTCCACAGCACCACTTACTCTGCTAGAAGATGATTTGGCAGTCTCTCAACGATCGTTTATTATTTGATGCATTACAGTGTAGCCCAAACATCCAACTCCGAGTTGTTCAATCAAGATAAATAAAAATTTACATTCACACAAAAATGTGTCCACTCTATTCCGCATCACCATAAACTGGAGGCAATCCAAATGTTCTTCGATGGTAAATGAATAATTACGTGTTCTATAGAATATTACCTAGCAATAAGAACAAACAACTGATACACACAATTTAGATGAATCTCAAAGGCCTTTGTGATGAATGAAAGAAGCCAGCCTCCAAAAGTTACATATTATATGATCTCCGTTTATTTGACATTTTCAAAAACATATTGTAACTATAGTAACAAAAAAAGCAGATGGCTATTTGCCAGGGGTTAGATGTGTGGGGAGAGGACTGAGCCAGAGAGTAAAAGACTCATTCTAATTGTATGCTAATTGCGATAGTAATTACACAGATCTATGCAAGTGTTAAAATTAGTAGGACGGTACACCAAAAAAGTCTAATGTACTGTTTGTTAATTTAAATAATCAAGTAAAAACACACACACGGTTATGGTTTAGATCTCAAATGGGCTCAAATGCTTCATATGTCTGCAAGGTGATTGAATCATGCATGGGGTGCTACCGCTGACTTGCTGTGAAAGAGGAGCCGAGTTGGAGGCGGGTCCTGGGACGGGACCTGAAAGGGTGATCCTTGTTCCTGGCCCTCACTTCTCTCTCTGCTTCCCGGCTGCCACCACACAAGCAGCTCTCCTGCAGCCAGGTTCCTCCATCCTCCCGTTTCTGCTTTGGAACCAGATGACCAGAAACTGTAACTGAGACAAAATAAACTCCTTCCCCTTCAAGTTGTGAGCAGTGAGTATTTGTCCCAGCAACACAGAAAATGGCTAAAATGTACACAAGTAGAAAATGAATATTTGAAGAGGTGATAAGGAAAACATTCCCAGATTCTTCCCTTGTTTCCAGGGAGTAGCAGCCCGGAGAGAGAACTTGAACTTCAGGAGCCACCTTATGGAAGCACAATCTTCAAGCCTTCTGCCTCCTCCTGGATCCAGGGTGATGGGTCAGCCTATGTCCTCCCGGCTACCCGCAGAAGCTGTAGTGTGTGACTGCAATCTGAGGGCCCTCAGCGATTCACTTCCCCGCCTGCTTGACTCTTGGATTGTTAGCAGCAGACCATTCCTCCAGGGTTAGGGCAGGTGTCTTCATTGTGCCGTTCCAATGTAAATGTCGACTAGAAAAAAAGAATTAATTAACACCTTGCAAGAAAGAGATTCTTCACATAAAGCAGACTCACAGAATTCTGAGAAAACAGCATTTAAGGCAACAACATTTGTTGAAAATACTAAGAGGAAAAATGCTGTAAAGGAAGATGTTCCCAAGGAAGAGATCTAGGGAAACTATGGAGGCCACAAAGGCTATCACCAACAGTGGGGACGGTTCCTGAGAAAGGACAAGGCAGTCATGTCAATACCAATCACTTCCCATAAACACTCAAATACCTGTCTATGCCCATCAAATACGCCCCAGCTGCAAGATATATGGGCCATCATCCCCTCACTCTGTCCATGTTGCAAATCCATCTTACTCTTAGGTGCCTTCATTTAAACCTGCCTAATTTTAAGTTCCTCAGGGACGGGACCTGTTTATTTCAAGGTACCTATCTTGTCTGTGCTCCCTGGAGATCCCTGATAGTTTCTAAATGGGTGAAATGAGTGAATGAATATGCAAGGACTCATTAGGAATGTCCAGCTAATGAGGACAACACTGATAACGATAACCTCTCGATTTCAAGTTTCCCTTTCCCCATTTCGCAGCCTAAAACTCTACGGTCCATAAAATAAAAGCACAAACCTTGTCAGAGAAGGAACATTGCCATCCAGCCACATAAACATTCCCATTTGAGTTTACAGAAACAGATTATACGAACAGAGCAATATCATATACTTCAACGTACAGCTGAAGCAATTTTTAGCGGACTGCATTTTATTCCTCTTAACTTTTCTCCACTGGACCCACCGTCTCACGGTCATCTCCTTGCTCTGCATATTGAAAATCCCTCTTATTTTTCTCAAAAAATGTTTCTCTCCATTGGAGAAGAAAAAGATTTGGTGGCTGCTTCTGAAATTCAGTCTCAAAAACAATTTAGACACTATCTAAATGAACTGGCTGTTTAAGAGTTTGGGTAGGTAACTGGACATAAGTTTCATTACCCATGTTCTAGAATTAGTGTTCTTTTTATACTTTACAACCACACACATTTGCTTTTTACTGTTCCTTTTTAAACTTCGACATCAAAAGAGTACCTCTGTTATTATCCTGGTGCACATCACAGTTTTCTCTTAGACCATCTAGCATAGGATGCCGTTTCATAGACAGAATCACAACTCCAGAAAAAAGCATTATCTAAGTGCTGTTTACTCTCTTTGTATTGAAATCATGTTTTTTCATGCATACCTGTACACACATGCAAACTTGTCACTCTACCTCAGGACTCATACACTACTCAGAAGCATGAAAATATTAAGCAGGCGTCACAGGTACTGGCCGCAGTCACATAGTGTCTCTTTTCATTAAAAGAGGAATTTTTTCAGTAGCAGGAGCAAGGCAAGACCTGAAAGAGGTCCAGCCTCTCCACACAGGAGCACACACAGCTTTACTGTTAGCACTGAAATGCTATTTATTAGATAAATATTACATTGAAATAGCCAAAACACATACAAGGCCATGGCAAGAATGAACTTTTTCCCCCACCACTACTTATTTCTTTTTATGTTATCTCCTTAAAGAAGGACTTTCATACCGTGGCCACCTTGGGGAAAATGAGACCACAAAAAAGGCATTCACGGTGGTGATTTTCTATACCCTCCATTCTATTATTCTGGATATTTCCTTTTGAACACGGGCTTTCTTTCCCACAGTTATGCTTGGCCTCCTGGTTTGCAATGACGTTATGTCTGTGTTGGTGACTTCCCAAACTGCCACTGGGAAAATTAGCACCACAGATCTAACATAAAGAGCTAAGTTCTAGCCTCTGTTGTTTCACTCTGGTTTGACTACAGACATAGTCTTCCTGTGGCTATTCATTATTTTGTATTATTTGTGAGGACAGAATAGAAAATATAGACAAAAATAAAACCCACGTACTAAATGTGTGTGACCAGTATTGGATGCAGTTCCTCCCGACTTTGTCAGCAAATGCTTATACCATGATCTACTATTTGAAAGACAGCAAACAAAATTCCCAGATCAGTGAGAAGCAATGTTATTTTCAAAGACTTTACAATCAATAAAAATACTAGGGAAAGTAACTATCAAACACAATTCTAAATGTGCTCCAAAAGAAAAATAATAAATAGAAATTTAAGAACAGATTACCTCTGAAGGGGAATGGATGAAGTAGATTAAGGAAGCTAAAATGAAGAAAAATGATTGGATCTGGGTCTTTTAAAAAACGGCCGAAAATGCAAAAGGGCAAAATTGGACAAAAAAGAAAAAGACATGCGCAAGTTTCAGACACAAGGAAACACGGAGTAAGAAATTCTAGGGTGCTTGTTTCAGCAGCACATACACTGAAACTGGAACACTACAGAGAAGATCAGCATGGTTCCTGGGCACACAAATTTGTGAAACATTCCATATTTTTAAGAAACTGTTTTTCAATCCTTGGTGGTATTTCTTGCTGTTATTAATCTTGGTTCTATTAAATGGATAAGTGCTTCAAAAAAAGAAAGTTGTGGCATGCTATTGCACAATATGATAGCATATTTAACAACATACCGTGTATATCGAAAACCTAGAAGGAAGGATTTTTCTAATGTTTTCACCATAAAGAAATGATGAACGCGGGGGCTGGGGGTTTAGCTCAGTGGTTCCACCATTTGCTTCACAAGCACAGGGACCTGAGTTTAATCCCCGGTACCAAAAAAAAAAAAAAAAAAAGAAGTGATAAATACTTGAGGAAACAGATATGTTTAACTTCATTTAAACATTATACAGTGTAAGGGTCAGAGATTTAGATGAGTGGCACTGTGCCTACCTTGCAAGTACAACGTCCTAAATTCAATCCCTGGTACAGTACACACACACACACACACACACACACACACACACAATGTATGCATTTAGACATATACAATGGATATTTACACAAAACATCATATGGTAGGTACCCCATTGATAGATGCAATTTTTCTATGTTTTTTAAGTTAATTTAAATTTTTAAGGGCTGAGGATTTAACTCAGTGGTTCTGCCACCACCTGCCTCACAACCACCAGGTCCTGAGTTCGATCCCTGGTACCAAAAAACAAAAAATAAACCAACAGAAAGTTAATTTAAATTTTTAAAAAGAAACTAGGGAATGAGGTGCCCATTTGGAGAATGGTATCCATGACCCATTGGGCACCATGAGTAGGGCTGATGACGGCCATAGTTGTGTCCTTCTGTGTGATTCTTTCACTCATTTATGGAGCTGTCTAGATCCAACTATGCCAACCAGTGTCCCAGGCTTGTAAGGAGAGAGTTGGCTTCACTTATAGTTAACATGACCCAAGAGAACCAAGACCAAAAAGAAATCAGGTTGGACCTAATTCTAATCTAAAGAATTAGAAAGTAGATTACAAGACTGTCAAGATAAATTTAATAACTATTTCTCAATAGGAATGAGAAACCTGATGTTCACTGTCTGGTGTTCACTGCCATTAACTGTAAAACCGAGTGGGACTCTGTAACTATGTTTTAAAATTGAATGAAATTAGAAAGATGGAGAAAATTAATAAAACATTTTGCAGTTGGTAAAACTTCTAGGCAACTGTTAGATCTGAATCTATGTGGAAATGGCATTGCTTCAAATTTACCATATTTTTGCTAACATAAATACATTTATAGCATAGCCATTTATTCAAAGATTGTTCATATTCAAATATATAACCATTTCTCTTGGGTATGTATGTCTGTTCCTAAGGCAAGCTCTCATAGCTAGAGCTGGGAAGAAATTACTGGAGCAGACCTATATTTTATTTCAGAACTGTTGAAAATCGGAGCTTTCTTTCTCTTAAGTTTCTTCTCGGGCTTACACTTTTCAAAGTGAAATGCTATGACAGTATTTATGCCTATAATTTCCTAAAATGACCAAGCAAGATAGAAAATGTAAGACAGAAAGATCAATTGCTGCTGAAAATGCAACCCCATCACAATTTATTTCAAAAGCCCCAGACTAATGAAAAAGGAGTAAATCTATTTGTTTTTAAGGAAAAGCTTTCTTCGAGTCCACTTTAAGAGATGATTAATGGCAGTGATTTTTGTGTGTGTTCCGCTGATCTTGCAGGACTGCCTCCATTGAATTCAAGTGGCAGTTGGGGCTACACAGCTTTATATCTTCTGGTATCACATGTCCTGCCTCAAATGTAATTACAAGTTTGGAGAGGCTGAATATAAAGAACTCATTTAGAATGGCCGTTCAGGTTGTTTACTATAGACCATACATATGGTTATTTAGAACTGTAAACGCATTCAGTTACTAATAGGCCTTTTCTTTTTAAAAAATGAATAAACCTCTTGAAACAAGGAGGTTTTACTTTAATCACTACCTGGATTTTAAATTTGCCCGTTAGACTTTCAAAGTCCAGAACAGGGCTTTGATTCTGTGCCATTTTGGTGTGAATCATTGGGGGGGGGGCATTCCCATGGACCTGGCTCTCTGGTACCACTGAACAATGCTCACCGCTGACCACTAAAAGAAGGGAACACCATATGCAAATACTAAATAGGTTCTCTGGTGTGAAAAACTAAAATAGTACTCAGGATCCTAATGGGACAATTAGCAATGTGAAATAGGAAAAAAAGGACCAAAGGTGTAGGGACAGTGAGAAGGATAGGGAAAGGGGAATAAGGGAAAAGGAAAAAAAATATGAGAAAATGTAAAAATGGAATTAAAGTGTTTGAAGGTGGGGAGGGGAGGAGGGGGTGAAGGGAGAGTGGGGACAAGGGGAAAAAATGAGAACCAAGACCTGGCATGTAAAGGTACAAGATCCCAGTAATGAATGTAACTGTACTGTCTACCTAGAATGTACCAATAAATTCAATTTAAATAAATAAATAAATGAATAAAAATAAAAGAAGGGAGCACCTCCCCATCTTCTAAGGAAAATGACAGCTGTCAATCTAGGGTCACAGGTCATGGAGAAAAGCAGCTCGTGGCTCCTTCTGTAGTTTTAAAGCAACAATTATCCCAGGAAAGTCATAGTTCGCAAATTATTTCCTCCTGTCAGCTCTGAGCTCAGTTTGTCCATTTGTATGGTCAATATTTGTCCCTTGCTTCTTTTCAGCAGCTTCTTTTTAACAAAAACAAAAGTGTTCTTTTTATATTTTCTACCCAATTTCAGGATTTGAAAAATCCTGTGACACAAATAAGTGAGAAAAGTGACATGTCACACAGTTGAATGCTCCAGTTTCTGAGAGGTAATAATATTATCTAAACTCAACACCACTGGCATTTTCAAGAAACTATCTATTCCAAATAAGATCTTTTTTTGAAACATTAACAAATTGGTCTTTCCTTTTTTTGGTCAGCTTCATTTCTCTTCCCAGGAATAAAATAGATTATCGCAGTTCTTCATTTAATCTGTTAGTTCCCAGATTGCTATTCACCCATGTCAGGAAAAAAATATGAAAGACCATATATTTTCAAATATATCACTATTTCCATATGAAATTGTGAAACAGCTGAGTGGTGAATGTCTGGCGAAATTGGGTGTGATTACACAACCAACAGAATTTCCACCATTTCTAATATCCTACCACATGTACGGTCATGTGTGGATCTGTAGTTCTCACTACAGAGGGCAAAAAGTGTTCCAGTATTAATATCCCTGAACTGTTACTGGGGTGCAGGATATGAAATAAGGTATGCAAGAGGCTCTGTGCATCTGTATCTACCCAATGGGGAAATCAATTTTCAATTCTGACTCTAAATAGAAGCTTTTCCTGCCCACGGAGGTTTAATGTTCCCTTCCCAGTACTTTAATATACAGCACAGCACTTCCACAAAGATAATATATAAACAAAAGGACACACAAATTCAGGGGAGCCCATTAAAGAAAGCAGGGTGAAGGGCTGCAGTTAACATTCAGCCACTGTCATTAGTCAGTAAAGCAGATACCTGACATTTACATGCCAGATTGGAGAGAAGCCTGACAGCCTGTAAACTTCATATGATTTAATAAAAATACATCTTTAGAACCCCAAACTTGGAGCAAGTGAATCAGGAAAGACAGAATCATTTGTGACTGTTCATGACAGATAATAAAATTTCACAGACTTTGCACAAATGGCTCCAGGGGGCCAGAACCACTCCCAAACAAAAAGTATTTAATAGAAAAGAACTAGAAATCTCCTTCGGGAAGTTTACATTCCAGAAGGGGTCAAGGGAGAGAAAACAAACTTGCACAAGGAAATAATATCAGGAACTAGAAGAGATAGGAAAAACACAGAACAGACTCAAGTGTTAGAGGTTGGCTGTGAGGCGTGTGTGTTACCCAGTTTTTCATCACTATCGCTAAATACTTGAGATAGTCAACTCATAAAGAGAAAGTTTATTTTTCTTTTGCTCACAGTTTTTGTGGTTCCAGTCCATGGCCAGTCCATTGCTCTGCGCCTGTGGAGAAACAGCACATCATGGTGGGAGCATATGGTGGAGCAAAACCACTCACTTCATGGGCAGGAAGCGAAAAGAGAAAAGAGGAAGAGACCAAGGTCTCACAATCCCCTTTGAGGGCACTTTGTGAACAATTTAAAGAGACCTTTCACTACTCCCATCTCTCTCTCTCTCTCTCTCTCTCTCTCTCTCTCTGGCAGCTGGGATCTAACTTGGGTCTTGGGTCCTTTCACTTTCGAGGCGGGAGGCAGAACCACCCCAGCCCTACCCCCCATCTCTTAAAGGTTTCAGCACCTCCCCCAACAAAGTCACACTGAGGACCAAGCCTTTACATCATGGATCCCTGGAAAACACTCAAGATATAAACTACAGCAAGGTAGGAATACTAATTTTAAGAATAGTGGAGATAACCTCAATGAGAAGGGGATATTTGTATTAAACCCAGGATCACAGAATCCCAGCAAGAAACAAGAGTCAGAGTTCCTGGGACTGAAAAAAGCTTTGCTTTGCTTTGCCAGGGATACTCTAACAAACACCACAGACTGGTGGTTTAAACAACAAGGTTATTTTCTCACGGTGCTGGAAGCTGGAAGTGCAAGATCAAGGGGTCAGCAGGGTTGGTTTCTTTCAAAGCTTCTCTCCTTAGCTTGGAGGTGGTCATCCTCTCAGCTTCTCACATCTCTCTGTGTCCAGATTTCCTCTTCTTTAGGACACCAGTCATACTGGTTTATGGCCCACCCTAATGGTCTCATTTTACCTTAGTTGTCCCTTTAGAGTCCCCACCTCCAAGTACCGTCACACTGCGAGGTACTGGAGTTTAAGACTTCAGCATGTGAAGGTGGGGCAGGCACTGTTCAGCCCTATCAGGCAAGGAGCGCTCAAGGGGTAGAAGGATGCTACAGAAGCTTTGGTGTGGTAAGAAAAAGGGAGTAGAACTGGACTGGACGGAGAGATGACAACTCTGCATCTTGCTCCACATGCACTATTCCAAGCTGCCTGAGTTACTGTCCTCATCACCAGGACATAATCCTCCACAACCGCAACCTAAGGAGAGAAGTTTATTTGTGCTCAGTTTTAGGCATTTCAGTCCATGTTTGGCAGATTAAAAACTCAGAAAACAGCATGTTGCTAAGGCCCGGGCAGAGGACAGCTGCTCACATCACGACACCAGGAAGCAGAGTCAGAGGAGCCAGGGAGGGAGATGAACTCTTTCACATCAGGCTCCACTGATCAGAGTCTCCAAACCAGACCTCCTAAGAGCAAGTTAGCTCCAGCATTCCCATGGAAGGAGCAGCTGCCTTCCAAAAGTCTGCTTCTGAACTCCAGAGGCCCTGGGGGTATGTCTAGGTCCTCCCCGGGTTACCTAGGAGATTTACAACAAGAAGCCTATGCCTCCCTCTCTCAGCTCATCTCTTTCCTCAGCTGTCACTCCCCTCCCAAGGCCCTCCTTCTTTGAATCTGGACCACAGGCCACCCACCACTGATGGATGAAACACCGAGTCTCCGCTCACTATTCCCAAACATGTGAGGAGCTAGAAGAGGCAATAATAAGGGTAAGGGGGAAAGAAAGTAGGAGACAAAGGCAACAGGTGTGGAGACAGAGGAAAGAAGGTGTCTCTGGCATGCACTTTGGAGCTCTGAACACATTTTCCTAAACATTGTTTTTCATAGAGTTAAGTCGAATAGTCTCATTGCTCTTACATGGCACTACCTAGAGGAACAAAGTTCCTTCTTTTGTAAGTCACACAGGCTCTGTAACTGGCCTGGACCATGACTCCCTACATGGCATTGCTTTTTCTGGAAAATTCACTGTGCGCTCTGAGGGGATTCCATACATTTTTACAAAATGTTTTCTTGTCCTGACTACATGTGGTAGACAGAAGAAGAATATTCACTACTCCAGGATATCCAAGTCCCTAGAATCTACACATAAGTTACCTGGTATGGCAAAAAAGACTTTGTGGGTGTCACTAAGGTTAAGGGCCTTGAGATTTTTAGATTATCCTGGATTGTTCAGGTAAATTCAATCTAACTGTGAGAATCCTAAAGGCAAAGAATCTCTTTCAAATGAAATAGAGACAGAGGCATCAATGAAAGAATGGCTGCCATGGCAACACTGCAGTCTCTGAAGATGAAGGCAGCAGGCTACAAGCTAAGAAATGCAGGAGGCCTTTAGAAACTCTTATGGTTTGAATCTACAATGCCCCCCTAGGCAAGCCTTCAGGGGGGTTTAGATCATGAGGGCTCTAACTTCAACTGTGTATTAATCCATTGATGATATCATAATTTGTTGGCATTATTAGGAAGTGATGGAAACAGGAGGTGGAGGCTAGTCAAAGAAGTGAATCATTGGAGCATGACCTGGGGACTATATTTTGTCCCTGGCCTCTTCCTCTTCGGCTCTTTCCATTTCTCTCCACATTCTGGCTGCCCTGAAGTGAGCAGCTTTCCTGCACCATGGCCTCTGCTATGATGTTTCTGCCATGCTACAGACCTAACAGCAATGGAATCAGCTGACCATGGATTGAAACCTCTGAAACCATGAGCCAAAATAAATCTTGCTTCCCGTAAACTGACTTCTTCACGAATTTGGTTATAGCAATTCAAAGCTAACATACATGCTGAAAACAACAGGAAATGAACACCCTCATTCCACCAGAGTCTCCGAAAAGGAACATAGCCCTGTCCAAACTTTGATGTTAACCCATTCAACCCATGTTGGATTCCTAACCTACAGAACCATAAGAGAGTAAGTTTGTGTCTTTAAATCATTAAATCTGTTATAAATTAATACAATGCTAAAATAATGTGTGCTTCTTTTAGGAACTTTGGAAATTTGAGAAAACATTTAAAATGGAAACAAAAGTTAACCATAATTCTGTTGTCTACCAATATCCATTTGTTAAACTTTTTGAGGTACATCATTCCAGTCTATTTTTTTCCTACAAAATTAAAGAGTACCTTAGTCAGTGTATTTTAAAAAACAAAAAGATATGGTTTTTCTCCATCAAATCAGTGTCATCCTTCACATATTGTTTTTATGATCTAATTATTTTCTGCAGTGTGTGAATATTTCTCCACACCATCATGCTTTCTACAGCAGAATTATTTTGCCTATATAATACTCCATCTTTATAATTGTAAGGTCAAAATTATATCAACTATTTCTTAAAGTTGTCTATGTTGTATTCACCTGTTAACTTCCAACTATAGATTACATATGTATATTTTATAAATTATATTATTATAGGCTACAGTGTTGCCATGTGGGGTTCAGATGTTCATTGGTGTGGTTTTCAGATCTCTTGGTATCCAAGTGGGCTCTGTGCAGCACATTCTGGTTCATCTTTGTCCTTTTAATATGCTTTGCCCAGAACTCCATGGAAAGTGGTGGAACAAGACAATGCACATTAAGGGGAGAAGGGTGTGTGTAGCCCAGGGATAGAACACTAGCACGTCTGCCTAGCAGTATGAGGCTTTGGATTCTAGCCTCAGCATTGCAAAAATACATACATACATACATACATACATACATACATAGGTAAATACATTTGTTAAAGACATGAAGAAATAAAGGGGGAAAAAACAAAGCCAAATACATCCCTAAATGATACTAAAAACAAATAGAGAAAAAGCCACAAAACAGCAAGATTTAGAACTCAAACATGGTGTTGCCTGTCTCTAACCCCAGCGTTGTGGGAGGCTGAGGTAGGAGAATCCCAAGTTTGAAACCACCTTTGGCAATTTAGCAGTTTAATGAGACCCTATCTCAAAAAGCACCACAAAAAACAAATAATTTCTTTAAGCCATAGCAAGGTTAGATTCAAACACTTTTATTAAATCCAAGAGGAGAAATGGAAATGTATCTACCAAGCACAGCACCATAGAAGAAAGCAAAGAACCTAAAGAAGTTGCTATCAATGGCAGAAAATCCAGTGCTCCCCAAAAACTTACAGGCAAGGACAAATATATTTTTATTTTGTATTCAAAAAAGATTCAAATATAAAGATTTCTAAATTAATAACTTGCCAAATTATTTGTTGCAAAAATAAAAGATGAAATACGTCATTGGATAAAATTTAAGAAATAAGGCTTGACTATCATTATATATTTTTCATATATATTAAAATTATTAGGCCTGAAATATAATTATAAATGTTAAATGTATTAAAACTTGATACATCTCTGATTACATTTCAAATTGTGCACAAAACAAAAAGTCACAAGACAGAATAAAGTTGAGGAGTGTCTATTTTTTAGAAAAACCATGTGGTCTATAATTAAAAGCCATGGAGTTAAAAACCTCTTGTAAGACCATCCTAGTCCTGGAAGTGGCTCTCCTGTTTGCACTGTAGAGACACCTGGAAAGTAAGGTTTTCTGCTCGTTGTTGTGTTTTGTTTTGTTCTTGCTATTAATTCCAAAGTTGGCCAATTAAATCAAGTTTCCTAAGGGGGAAAAAAACTCTCCAAAGGATTCTAATGATAAGCCCTAGCTAAATTCTATTGCTTCAGGCCTTTTGGCTAAGATTAGGTGTAATAGTCCTAGCTAAATTCTAATACAGTTCTGCCTGCCACCTGCAACTGTCTAATAATAACGCACTGAGAATAGCATCTGGTAGAATGAAAACTGACCACAAGCAGGAAGATTAAATTCTTCCTGCTCTGCTTTTATCAAAGATCTTTTCTCTATTCCTAACTAAGCCATGAGCCAATACTTTCTCACTTACGCAAATTACAGATGATGTTTCCAAGTTAGGAAACAAGAGAAGCAAGGTACCAAACAAAGACTGAAAGGTAAAACATGTAAGTCATAAAACAATTTCTTCAATTGGGTTCATCAGTCCAAACTTTCATGACTTGGCTCCAAAAGTACAGATGTTTTTCAACAAAGTAAGAGTATTTGGTACATTTTTTGGTAGATGGCAAGATAAATTCCATTTGCTTAAGAAGTCACTCCTCCTTTGATGTGGTTAATTATGACCTCTACATATCAACCTTAT